TGCACCGGGCCTCTAGTATATATATAAAACCCTAAGTGACCTCTCGACCAGTAGACTGTTTGACTGGTCGCTATGACGCGTACTGACCACCAGGGGGCAGACACTCAATGCAGGAACTGCCCCCTGGTGGTCAGTGTATTCCCACTGTGAGGGCTGCTCAGCTGACTGACTGACTGGTGCCAATGCTGGGCTCACGGCTGGCGAGCGCTGGGAGCCTCTCCTGCCTCTGTGGCAGTGCTACCAAGCAGCGGAGGCAGGGTCCGCAGGGCCAGGATGAGGGTGAGCAGCCCAGCGCCAGGTCTGGGTTCCTCCCCAGCTGCCTGCCACTTCACACACTACTTTATCCCTCGGGGGATGTTGGACTACCGGTTTCAGCCGGATCCCAGCAGTACGACATCCCCCGAGGGGTCCCGGATTGCAGGAGGGCGCAGAGCAGGCTGAGGGACCCCACCAGTGCATGAATCCGTGCACCGGGCCTCTAGTTTAACCATAAAAAAGAATGAAATTCTGATACATGCTAAGCATGAACAAATTTTAAAAACAAGGGTAACAAGCCACATCCAAAAGGGGTATTGTATTATGTTAAATATTGTATTATCCCATTTATATGAGGTACCAAGATTAGGAAAATTCATACAGGTAGAGTAGAATAGATGTTTCTGTGGATTTGGGAGAGGGAGAAATGATGAGTCATTCTTTAATGGGTATGCAGTTTCTGTTTAGGATTAAAAACTTCTAGAAATGCATAGTGTTGATGGTCGCACAACACTGAATATATTTAATGTCACTGAATAGTATACTTAAAAGTGGTTAAAATGATAAATTTTGTTATATATATTTTGTCACAATAATATACACAGCATATGATGAATCTTTTTTTTTTTAACCAAGGAAAGAAAATTGGAATTATGCTTTTAAAAATATCAAAGTAGCAGAAACTACTATAATCTACAGCCAAGAATATTATAATCAGTGGTTAGTTTTACAGTAGCCTTGCATGGACTGATCATTTGTAGTGTACCAAAAATCACTTAAGTTTCAAAAATTATCTTCTATTCCAACTTCCTTTATAAATATCAGCCTTGTCACTCCTAGGTAGCTAAAACCAAATGAAAACAAACATAATTTGTCTTCTACCAGATTATAAAGAGGAAAAAAGTGAATGTATTTATAGCAATAAATTAAAACTAGAAGAAAAGCCAGTGGTTTAGTAAATCTCTAAGTAGTTGGTAATTTAAAAAATATTTTAGAATACTACATATCTCTGCATGGTAGGTGATTTTTCTTTTTTTCTTTATACCATTCTGCATTTTCCACTCTTTTTTATAATGAGCATTCATCTAAACAGTATTATGTAAGCCAGAAACCTAGGAGTCACCTGTTAGCTCTCTATCCCTCTCATATTCCAAGAAATAACAGTCATGTGGATTTAATCTACTAAAAATCTCCCAAATCCATCAATTTTGCCCTGTTTCCATCAATATAAGCCAAATACAAGTTACCTAGATTGCTATAGCAGTCTCTTAATTGGTCTCCCTGACTCCACTTTTATTCTCTCCATTCTTTTTTCCACTTTGCAGTGATCATTTCTAAACACAAATCTCATTACATCCTCCTCGTATGCCCACTTGCTCAAAACCTTACTCTTAGGATAAAAACAAAAAAACCTTACTTCAGCATACAAATTAGGTCCAGCCTGGTGTGGATTCACCTATTTCTTCACTATCAGCTTAAGTCTCTCTCACACACACACACACACACACACACCCCTGAGCTCATTCTTCTATTCCTCCACTCTGGCAATAGGATCTTTACACAGATTACTCCTTTTGTCTATGAGAGCGATTTCAACCTTTTTCATCTCATGGCACTTAAACTAATTACTAAAATTCTGCGGTACACCAAAAAACCTATTACATTTTTTACTGATCTGACAAAAATTTATTTATGTATTTATTCACAGAGGACAGCTATTGCTGTGTTGGCTGTTGCCTTTTTTTTTTTTAAACCTAAATTGTCAGGTATTACATGTTTTAAAAATTCTCGCGGCACATCAATTAAAAATGGCTCGTCTATAATATCTTCCCCCCAACCCCATCTCCTTCTCGCGGCACATCAATTAAAAATGGCTCGTCTATAATGTCTTCGCCCCCCACCCCACCTCACCTGATGAATTCCTACTCATCCTTACTATCACACTTCAAGCATCTCTTCTTCAGGAATGTCTTTCCTTCCTTGATCTCCCGATTAAGCCATATCCCCTATTAAGCCATATCCCCTAGCAACAAGCACCTTTTCTTTGCAAGCTTTGTTTGAGATGTAATTTTACATAGTCGTAAATCTGTTCAATCTATTTCAGAAATGTTTTTTGACAGCTTTTTACACTGCAAATTTAACAACCATTTTCAAAAAAGAACTGTCTTCACCCCAGACCTTTCCAAATCATATATCCAACTGCCCACTAGACTTCTCATTTGAATGGCTCAAAAGTATTTCATGCACAACATGTCCAAAATTAAATAATTTCTATCCACCCCAAAATGGTCCTCATCTGACCTTCCCTATTTCACTGAATGACACCACTATCTTTCTTCCGGTGCACAATCCAGAAATCTTTAGTATCTTCTTCACCCCACCTCCCCAATTCCAAACACACCATGTCCTGAATATTCTCTATCTCCTAATTATTTCTTGATAATTTTTCACCCTTCACAGCTACACATTACTAACCCAGGTCATTATCATCTTTCTTGGATTACGGTAACTGATCTCTCTATAACCGATCTTGCCCCTGCAATCCACTTTTCACATAGCAGACAAGTCTTCTCTACCCCATCCCACACAAATCTGAATATTCTTTGCTAAATCCCCTCAGTGGCTTCCTAAAGCTATTAGGCTGATAAAGTCCAAAATTATTAACAAGGTATTCAGTGATGGCGAACCTATGACATGCGTGTCAGAGGTGACACGCAAACTCATTTTTTTGGTTGGTTTTTCTTTGTTAAATGG